CGCCCCTGGACGCCCGGCCCGCTCCCGGCCCGCTCCCCTGGGCCACCGCTGCAATCACACACGCGAAGCCCTCCGCAGGGGCTGGCACAGACCCCACGTCCAGCGTTTTAACTTTGCCCCAGTGCGGAGGGGAGCATCGCCCCTGCTCCTGCTCAGCCAGCCGCTCCCGCGCTTCCACGCTCCTTGCTCCGTCTCAGCAGCTCATCTTTGCTGCATCTACAGTTTCTCAGAGCTGCTGAAACTGCAGGGAGCAGCAAGGTCTCCCCTGAAAATGCTGACTTAAGGAAGAGGGCTTTGCAGCTGCTCTCCGAGGCATTAGTGACAATGCTGAAGCAAGTTTCTGCTGAAAAAGTGTACGAGCAGGGCTGGCTCTCGGGCTGTGAAATGGTGCTCTCCCCCCATCATGCCTGGCTTGACCCATGTGTCCCCATCTATCCTGCTATAACTCTGTGCTCTGTGTCCATAACACAGCAATATTTGTACCTATCCTCTTTGCTGCTGCACGACAAGCAAAGCAGGCCTCTGCCCACCACAGCACACCAGATGAGCACAGCGGAGGAAGGACATCAGTGAAACCAGGCACACATGAATTAAGACATCATGGAGAAAGCATGATCCTTATAAGGAAAAAATCTGGGCCCTGGACATTCAACAGCAGCTCCACTGTCCTCTGCCATGCATGCAGGGGACACACAAACTAGAGCCGCACAGAGTCATTTTATATGCTTTGATGGGCTTTTTCTCTTCTGTGCTGACCAGCTAAGTTACAGGTCTGCAAGCATCGAGCAAGCTCAGCTCTAGTTCTTGCACAGCAATGCCTCTTCTAGGGCACACTGGGGCAGCCCATATATCCCTCTGGAGGGGCACAAGCTCATTGTGCTACCTTTTATCGTGTTCCACATTATCAGCTGTGTGGAAACACTTTGTGCAATGCCCCATTCACTTTTTAATCAGACAGTATTTCAACCATCTGACTTACAGCTTGGCAGATCTGTGCAGGGTGTTCACAGCTTTTGAGCAGGGAAGGAGAGGAACATGTGGCACCAACTTGCTTCCCATGGACTCTTGTCTGCAGTAGCAGAACTGCTTGGAAGCCTACAGTTTCAGGACGGTATGACAGAAATTAACACTCAAAAATCCTCAGCCTGATTTCAGCCAGAAGGCTTTTTTCCTTCAATTTTCTTTAAACCTCTGAATACTGGTAGCATAGGGCCCTAAAATAACCCTTATGTTGTTGCTCAGGAACTGTAAATGACAAGGAGAAACTGATACCTTCCCAGTCCCACGGCCAAACGAGCCTCGAAGACAGGAGAGCAGCACAGCCCAAGCACACTCCCTGGGAACAGCGAGGATCTGCTGGCACCAGCCACAACCAAGAGACCCACCCAGTCCAAAGAGCTGGGACTAGCCACAGGCCTCAGTCAGAGAAGCAGTTTATTATATAAAGAGGGAAGAGGAGTCACCATCTCCAAGGCCTAAAGGGTCATACCCTGCTACCAGCCGAAAGCCTAACACTGAAGAAGCTTTTCTATTATTAGCACCTTTGGCAGCCTCTGCACTGTTACCTAAATGCTTTTCCTGTATCACCAAGATACCCAGGATTCCTCAGGAGAGAAAATAAGCCCAGCTTAAATGTCTTCCTTTTACCAGCACTACCCCAGTGTATCCCAAGGTAGAATATAGTATGACATTTATCCACCCAAACCCCCTCCATCCCCTCTAGTCTGCTGCTTCCACTGCAGCCAGCTAAAAGCGATAGGGGCAGTTTGAATGCTTTGTACTGTTTTCTGGCTCAGGATAGCACTCAGGGTCTGAGAGAAGAGTAGAGGCAAGGAAGCCACCCAAGGGTATTTACTATAAAAAAGTCACATAAAGCAGCAGATGAAACCTTGTATTTGCTGCTGTTCTTGAGATGGCTCCCAAGACCGTGCCTGATTAACCATCTTTCTACATGATGGGCTGTAATCCCCCCAGTTGCTGAGAAGGGTCAAGCAGGGCTTGCCTCTCAGCCTGCTGCTACCCCAAGCCTGGCCAGATTTCTCCCCTCAGAAGTCCTGGAGTTCAATGGGCACCAGAAAACACTGCTTCCAGACCCCATTTTTCTCTGCTGTTTCTTGCTCACACATTTGAGTTACGGTGGAGAGAAATTCTCCAGACGGGAACATCAAGGGTTTTCCTCCTCTGCAAGGGTACAGTCATCTGGACACGCTTCACCAAACAGCTCCTTGTTGCTGCACAGGCACTAGGCACTCACGAGTACTCCCTTAACCTCTTTTGTGTCAGGCAAGGACTGAACCATTCTCTTCCTGGATCTCATGCAAGATAAGCTATGTGAGAAAGAACAACATTTGAGCCACAAGCCAGACCAGAGGATTCCGTGTTTCCCTTCAGTCTTGTATACTAAAGGACTAGGAATGCAACTGCATGAAGCATCCCCAACTAGTTTCTAGGTGTTTCCTCTTTTAGCCATTAGCAGCGTGATGTCGTCAAAAGAACAGGAAGAAAAAATAATAATCAGAAATGGGCTAGAAAATGCCAAAGAAACCTAACTGTGCCAACACAAAGGGATACTGAGGGCTGCTGTGCCAGAATTCATCATCCCAGCCCAGGGCACTATTGTCTGGAAGGGAGAACCAGCCCACTGCAGCATATCTAAACTGCAGGAGCTGAAGCACAGTAGCCCCTGGCAGCGAGTGCCAACACCACAACCCAAGAAGAAGACACGGCCCAATTCAAGGAAAGGAGTCGAGGAGAGTTCTGCTGCCACGCGGTAACCCAGCACCTGGGTACCAAACCCAACCAGACAAAGCCCACTTGAGCCTAAGGGAGCAGCGCAGTAGAGGGCTTTCTCTGGGGGAGGGTATCCCTGACCTCCGCTCTGCACTTCTCCTGGGGCAGCAAGGAGAGCATCAGGGAGCACAGCGACCACTGAAGCATACCCATGGGTGTATGGGAGCAGATTCTGCTTGTGAGGAGTTCACAGGTGCCAGAAACAGAGGGAAGAGGGAGCACGTGCTACCCCTCCACCTGCCCAAACACCCAAGAAGGCTAGGCAGCAAAGGAAGGACAGTGAGAGTAGGTCATTGTTCCCAAACTACGTGCAGCAGGGAGAAGGAGTAGCCAGTGAAGAGAGATGGGGTGCGGTTCAAGCACTTGGGGTGCTTGAAGGCCAGGGGTTCACATCATTGTCAAATCAAGGCAGATGGGAAACAGGGCAGAGGCACTTTGATCCCTTTTGAGAGGTACATTAGAGCCTAGCCTCTAATGGAGTGCAGAGCACTGCATTTCTGCAGTAGTATCTGTTCTAGCTAATATAGACAGTGACAGAAGACAAGCTCTGACAGCACATGCTGAGGCAAGAGGGATCCAGCCTGGTTCAAACCACTGAGACCAAAAGGCATTCTGAAACCTCTTAGAAATACCAGTAGAAACCACATCTGCATGGGACACAATAAACACTGCCTGAGCTCTGGGGGTATCCAGGGCCTCTGGCCAAATGATGCCCTTGATAAAGCTCTGGTGATGCTATCACGCCCCTGCCCAACAGAGAACAGCAACGCTAGGGACAGTTTTCACCAATCCCGCTAGAGGTGATTGATAGATAGATAGATCCTCTCCTACAGCCTCATGCTGCCCCACAGCTGCTGCAAGCTGAGAGCCAGGTATGGGGAACACCAACATCCACAGCGAGAGGTTTTTCCTTAAACAAAGAAGAAAGGACATATAGGAGACTGACTATCAGCACAGCCAGATTACGGTAGCCTGGTCAGTTCTTCTTACTGCTGGGGCTCTTACTGGTGAACAGACTGACTTTGCTGGCAGATGCCACAGACAGAGAAGGAGATTCCAGCTTGACCTTATCTAACAAAGTCTTCTTTATGGCTGCTGGAGAGATCTTCTCCTGGTCTGCCAAATGCTGCAGCTCCCTGTGAAGCAGCGGGGAGAAAGAGAGAGTTAGATACAGCAAAAGGGAGAGAGCCAGGAGGTGGGTTTGTAGCCTCCTCAGGAAGCTACAAGTTTTGTAGCCTCCTCAGGACTTCCTTGGTGCCCACCTTGTCCGGATGCATGAAGCTTCCACGGCATTGATGAGGAGTGAGCGAAAGCCGCCACTCTCCAGAAAGTGCAGGGCGTGGATGGTGGCTCCCCCGGGTGAGCAGACATTGTCCTTCAGCTGACCCGGATGCTGCTCAGACTCCAACAGCATTTTGGCAGCACCCTGTAGTGAGGAAGAGAAAACAGCTGCCAAAAGCTCTGACTGAGGAAACTTACTGCCAAATACTCCTGTTCTCCACTGCATAGAGCAACACCTAAATACTCACAGTGGGCAAAACCGGTCTCCTGCCTCACAGCCATTAGCAGGCTGCCAGATCTTCCGAGCTGGAAAAGACTGCCGGGAAGTCATGGTTCTCCTGGCCCAGGCTCCCACAACGCCATCAGCACCAGCAGGTATCTGTGAACACTGCCTACATTCCCTCACCAGGGACTTGTGTCCATTCCAATGAAACACATTTTTTAAGTGGATTTAGTACAAGGACTGAGATAATTTTAAACAATTACGTACAGAACACTCTGCACTGAACAGGCACAGGCACAGATTCAGTGTGGTTTGGAAGAGGAGCTACTGACCAGCAAGGCCTGGGCTCCAAGCCGAACAGCCAGCCTGCGAGGAAGTCCCATTTTCACTCCTCCATCTGCCAGAGCATCCAGGGCAGTGAACGCCTGAGATCACAGAGAGAGAAAAATGGCTGAAAGTTAGTCTCTGCTCCAGGGCTAATGTTCTTAGGAAAGAGAGACGCCAAGGCTCTAGGAGCACAGTATAACTCCTATTGCTTAGGAGAACTTGAAAAAAAGTCACCCTCCAGTCAACCCAGTTCTCAGGTGAGACTGCTCCCCTTTACTGCAGGGGTGCCATGCCAGGCTTCCCTCCCACCTGTTCCAGCTGAGCTGGGGGGAACGAGAGAAATTGAGTTTCTGGGTCATACTAACAACAGGCCCAGGTTTTGCAACACGGACACGTGGACGCTGCACACTGGCTATGGACTTCAGCCTCAAGTGACTGTTAACGGACTCTCATTGTTGACCCAAGCTGTTATAAACTGGGTGCCTGGATTATGTGTCCCGTTGCAAATGTAAGTGACTAGAAAAAACAAAAAATCACAAGCTGAAGTTGCACAGACTTTCACTGCATGCAAAGCCCACTTCTCTCCCCATGATTGTCGTAAGTTGAGGAAGCAGCACATACATATGCAGGGCCGCTGCCACTGAGCCCCGTTACAGCATCTATCAGATCCTCTTCCACTTCAGTGCAGAAGCCTACACTGGCCATCAGTTGTTCCAAGAGCTTCCCATCCTCCACATCTGCATGAGTCCCAGTGGCATAGACTGTAGCACCTTCCCGGACAATCACAGGGGTGTTGGTCATGCACCTGATCACTTTTGGTGTAGGGCAGAAGGTAGAGAGTTTCTTAGGGTAGAAAATAATTGGAGATAGAAAGAAAGGAGGAAGAGACAAAAAAAAGAGCTTTAACACATATTTGGCATACCAAACAGACTGCTTAGGAAGGAACTCCCAAGGGACAAGGGCAATGCAAGCAGAGGGAACAGGGAGACTCCTCTACCCCAGCTTCCCAACTTTGAGCCAAAGCGGACAAATTTTAAACGTGACGCCTGCAGGAGCACCACCAAACAGAGAGCTGGGCAGAGCTGCTACTGGGAGCGATACCTGCAACACCTAGCTCCCACCTGACTCACAACTCTCCACATACGGCTCCCGCAGACACTTAGCACAAAGTCTACAGGAATTCAGGTGAGATGACCCACCTCTGTTGAGAGAGGGAAGATCCTACAGCATTTCACATAGTAAAAGAATTGGTAAAAAGACTATTTTAGCTTATTGTGATGAGGACAGGGAAAGGTGGCCCAAGGAAGTCAGCTGGCTGCAGCATAGATTTAGTCTTGCTGGGAAACACAAGTAACGACCCCAGAAACAGACATTGCGTCAACTCCTGGGGGATGGAGGAGTGGGACGGGTGCAAGGCCAGATCCAGTGTGGTACTGCCCTGCAGGGGATGCCTCCCCAGTACCTGGTGTCTGTTATGGCAACCTCTGCAAGGATGCAGGCCCCATTGTGAGTGGCAGCGCACAGGCCCACAGCAGCTCGTGGTGGCCCATGTCGCACCTCACCTTCTCAATGGAGCTAATGGTGACGCCAGCTGCGCAGGACACCACAATGTGGCGGGCCTCGATGTCGGGGCCGACCTCATCCAGGATGAAGGGGATGATGGGGGGCTTCACGGCCAGGAAGAGGACGTCGCTGTTCTTCACCGTGTCCTTGTTGCTCACCGTGAAGTTGACACCTATTTTCTGCAAGGGTTGGAGAGAAACGGGA